CACACGGGGGAGAGAAAGCTCTGATTTCACATGCAGTGAAGGAGTCATACGGGGCAAAGATCCGAAAAACACACTTCCAACTTATATTAAAGGCACCAGTGGTATGGGATTTTGTAGGGCTGTATACGTGGTGCATGTGTTAGTGGAGAAACGTGTAGTGATGTGGTCCTGTCTGCAAAGATTCACCGCAGGTTTTCATGAAGGCTCATGTTACCTAATAGGCCCATGTGGTGAGTGAATGTGTGAATAGTATGGGTAGTTGAGGCGGTTGCGGTGGCTGTATGTTGGTGCTCCTGGCACTGACCTGTAGTGGTCCTACTCCGAACGCCTATCGCGGCTCTGGGCCTCTCGCGAGTGTCTGCACGTGCGCACCAGGGCTGTCTGGCATTAGCCCACTCGACCTTCCAACTGGCCAATCAGATTCAAGGTCGAGCCAGAGGTGCCCTGACTTGAGACGCTTGGACGCATTCCCTGACGGATACTTAGGACGCCACTCTCCCGGCGTCGGACGTACCCTCACTCGGCTGTTTACTCTCTCCAACTCCCTTTCAGCTATTCTGTACAGAATAAACGATGCTTTCAACTGGCGCCCACTTTCTCCTTCCATTCGGGACCGGGCCTGAAGATCATGACATCCGGGGTTTTACTCGCGGCCTAGCCTATCGACAGTAGGCCTATCAGTCTCTGTGCAACGGATTTGCAAGTGAAAGACCAGGCTAGTGCGCATGTGCGGTGGCATGGTGGATTCGAGGTTGTGGAATCGGTTGTGGTGGTGAGGCCATGCCGGTGGATGAAGAGTTGTTAGTTCCGGAAATGGGATCTCTGTCAGACATGCAGGGTATGTTTGGGGTGTCGACATTGAGGTGAGTTCAACTCTCGTGTGTGCGCATGTGACCGAATAGGCTTATGCGATGAGTGGATGCGCGTGTAGTGTGCGGCCTGTGGAGGCGGGTGAGGCTAGTGTATGTCGGAACGCTAGGACTGGTGCGCCGGTCACTCTCCGATGTGCTCTCAAGTGGTCGACCAGGCCGATGCATGGGGTAAATGTGCGGTCGAACTAAGGACATGTTGGAACCGAGTCCACATCGCTGGGGGTTGGGATGGTGATGGTGAAAGTGCATGTGGTTGACGGGACGTCAGGAGCATTTCGATCGATGGCGGGGGTGGTAGAAGTGGTCGTGCTCGCCGTCGCAGAGATGATGAAGGTGGTTGTAATAGACAGCAGTGGACCACGGGATTCTGGTCAGAAGTAGTGAGGACGGCCTCGCTATGGCTGACGCGAGGGTTAGAGCAGGGGTGGTCGTTGAGGCAGCAGTTTCGATTGGTGCATTGGGTCTATAGATGACTGACGAGGCCGATCCGTGAGTGGAATGTTCGCTGACAGCACAAAACGGTTGAGCGATGATGTTGCGGGTCAAGGGTACCTACAACTTGAAAAATTCTCTTTTGGCTTTGGCAGCAACGATCCGGTGTGTTTCGTCAATTGTTACGCCAGTCTTCTCTTCTCCAAGCCAGTCTGCTTCGGACGAGGTCCTCCCAGGTCACCCAGTTGATGTGCAATCGCTTAAGAGTGTCCTTTAAGCGTCATTTTTGTCCTCCCGGTCGGCGAGCAGCCGTAGGGACATCTCCGTAGAAGAGTCCTATGGGTAATCGCGCATCGCTTATCCTCACCAGGTAGCCGCTCCGTCGCAGTTTAAATTGCCCCAGCATGTTGCGGATGCTGAGGATTCCGGTTCGTTCTGAAACTTCCGTGTAGGGGATCCTGTCTTGGCATATCAGCTTTAGTATTCTGCGAAGACAGCCGAGATATAAGTGGTTGAGCTTCCCGGCATGACTGGAGTAGATGGTCCGGCTCTCCACTCCGTATAGAAGTGTCGTCAGGACGAAAGTCTTCTACATCTTCAATTTGGTGCTCAGTCGAAGTTCGTGGCGATTATACACGGGGTACCGCAGCCCGGCCAAAGACTTTGGGGATCCGGTGAGCCACTTCGTCGTCGATGTTGATGTAGTGTGAGAGTGTGCTACCTGAATAGGTGAAGTTGACCACGGTCTTCAGTTCGGTGCTGTTGACGTGAATGCGAGAAACATTGTCTAACGACTGATGCATGATCACCAGTTGTCAGTGTTAATGGTCAGTTCGAAGTTTGAACACCAGGGGCGAATTAGGCCATGTTCCGTTGCCTGGCTACTTCTTTCGCTTTGTTAGGCGCGTAGTCTTCCGCGAAGAGCAGGTTGTGGACTGTAGTCGTGGGGAGACGCGTTGAAGCCTGCATGCACCGGCCGTTGAGAAGATGACCGTTGGTCCTGTGGGCGATGCGGATGCCGGGGCGCTCATCACGGTAGGCGTCCATCAGCATGGCGAAGAACAGGAGACTGAAGAGGACGCCACCCGCCTCAGTCCACGGCTTCAGAGATTGCGCTGTTGTCCGTAACGAGCACCATCATCTCGTCGTAGAGCTGACTTACCACAAGCGCGGATCGCCCAGAACAGTCTAATTTCTATAGGATTTTCCACAACCCCTTGCGATCCACCGTGTTGAGAGTTCTTGTCAAGTGTTCGAAGATGACGCAGAGGTCGATTTGCATTTCCTGGCATTGCTGCTGCAGCTGGTGGGCAGCGAAGATCCAGTTGGTGGTTCTGTGGTAACGGAAGAATCTACAGTGGCCTTTTGGCAGCAATCCCTATTCGAAATCGCTATTAAGACGGTTTAAGAGGATGTGGACGAAGGTCCTCCCGACGATGTGAAGCAACGAGATTTCGGTGTAATTACCACACATTTGTGGGCTCTCTTTCTGGTTGTATCATCCTTGAAGTTCTTGAGGTCTTGTAGCATCCTCTCCTGAGATCCACATCTCCTGAAATAGCGTTGTGAGCTAATCCATGAACTGGGGCGGCCATGCTTGTGCACTCCGGCCGGAATCGCGTCAGATCCCGGTAAATTCCAGCTGGACAGAAGGAGCGGACTCACTCTAGCAGCCCATAGGTAATGGATGAGGGATTAGGACGGAGGTTGTTATTGTATATTAGAGTGCTTCAATTGCATCTGCGAGCCGCGGTCAGAATGCAGAGGACGTAATCTGGCCATTTGTTTAAGGCACCTTTTCTACCCTCTTTCTCCACGTGGAGGTAAGCAGCGATGTCCCCAAACGGGGCTGACTGGATATCCCAGACGGCAGCCGGACCCCATTATGTTTAGTGGGAAAACAACTCGCGTTAGCCTGGGCCACCCAGATATCGCCCTCTCTGTAGGACCTCAGAGGGGGGGGGGAGGGAGAAAGAGAAAGAGAGGGGGTGGGAGGGGAAGGTGAGTTACCGGATGTAGAGACACATGCAACACCGGATACCCCCATCAGGTTTGGCCTGCCGATCAAGGCGGCTACCGGGATGTGGCCGCTAGGCAGAGCCTAGCATCGAGAAGCCACATATGAGAGTTGGATCCCAATTAATAGACGTTAGACGTAATCGCCATCTGCCAGAGACCAATGATGCGGCCTCCCCGTGGACCCAAAATCTGACACCACTACACCCAATGACTACTACTACTACTACTACTACTACTACTACTACTACTACTACTACTACTACTACTACTACTACTACTACTACTACTACTACTACTACTACTACTACTACCACTACTACTACTACTACTACTACTACTACTACTACTACTACTACTACTACTACTACTACTACTACCGGTCTGTAGCGCCACAGCTTTGAGAAATAACCTCGCCTACTCCTTCGTTCTAATCCTATTGCATCACATAACGCGTCAGCTAGCACCTGTACCTCATCAATATCAGTAGAATTAATTAAATAACAGTAGACCAATTAAAGTACTTTGGGAGCACAGCGTAAAGAAACATGACAATCAACCGCAAAATGACCGGCCGAATTTCCAACGCCACCTCGGTCTTCGGCCGGCCAAATCGCTACATCTGAAGTAGTCGCGACGTCCTTCTAAGCAGGGTTGTTTACTTGATGACTCAGAGCCGTGGGAGACTGGGTCCTTTTCATCGCAGCCTCTCCGAAAATACTGAAGATGAAGCGGCTGGAGAGCATTCCAGACAACGAGATCAGGGAAAGAACCAGCGTCCTCGGTAACCACGCTGTGTTAAAACAGATACAAATGTGACGGGATGACTAACTCGTGAAGGCGGGTGATAAACGTCTGCCCGAACGGCTATTCTACGACGAATGAAGGCGAAATTTCGAGTTCCAGGTGTATGCATAAGTGAAGAAGAAGAGTCGAGCACCGGAACACTTCGTTTATTATCCTGCGCTTTCAGACTCGTACAGGCGTCCATCGTCAGAGGTAGTGGCAGAAACAGGATAGGCGACAGTTATAAGGCACGTAGGCCCAATCATCGACCGACGTCGCACGGCTGGAGGTGACCACGAAGGGTTCTGTACGCCGGCGCCAGATCGATAAATCGATTGACCGAGTTCTCATCCGAGGCCCAGGCTTCAATCAATTCTCGGCCTGTTTTGTTTCCGGCGTGGGCAACTATTTTGGTGGCTGCGAAGTCAAACTCGTGACCCATTTCGTAGGTGTGGGCGGCCACTTGTAAAAATGCGTCGCCTTGTCGCACAGCCAGCTTATGTTCGTGTATGCGCGATCCGAGCACGCGTCCAGTCTGTCCTGTGTAGTTACAAGGACAATTTTGACACGGAATGCGATACACTACTCCAGATTGCTCTTCAGGTTTTAACCGGTCTTTGATTTTCATGACCCTGCTGCGCATGGTGGCTTTGGGCGGTGTGCAATTCCAACACCCAGCTCCGCAGCAATGCGCTCGGTCGCTTCTGAAACACTCTTGATGTATGGCAAAGAATGCCATATCGTCGGTGGCGTTGGTGTTCGAGTTCTCTGGTGGCGACCGCGTAGGCAGCGACTTATGAATGCCCTCGGATAGCCATTTTGCACAAACTGGTCGCGGAGATAAGGGGCCTCACGTGCTCTGTCTTCCGGTTTGCTGCAATGACTTTGGATCCGTTAGAAGAGCGTCTTCACACAGCTTCGTTTGTGAGCCGCCGGATGGTTGCTGTGAAAACTGAGAAGCTGTGTGGTGTTCGTAGCCTTCCTATAAACAGTCGTTTCAAGTTCACCGTTAAGGTTTCGTCTGACGAGCACATCCAGGAAGGGCAACTGCTGTTCTTGTTCTTCTTCCCTCGTGATTCTTATATCAGGGAAGACTGCGTTGAGCAGGCTGTGGAAATGTTGCAGCATGTCCTTCTTTACGATGACGAACGTGCCGTCTACGCAACGGCGGCAAAACACCGGTTCATGTTGGAGGAAGGCAATCTTTTCTAACTCCTGTAGGACCAGTTCTGCCACCAAACCGGAGACCGGTGAGCCCATTGGGGTTCCCTTAATTTGTTCATAGGTCTCTCCCGCAAAAGTGAAGAAAGTTTGTTGGCAGAATTCAAACAGCCTCGTGAGGTGTTCAATTTTGAGGGCATTCTGAGTCTCATCGTAAGACCTCGTGGGCCACATTTGGTGGGATGGATGTGAATAACGACGTCGCATCGAAGGAGACCATGAAGCCTGGGCCTCGGATGAGAACTCGGTCAATCGATTTATGGATCTGGTGCCGGCGTACAGAGCCCTTCATAGTCACCTCCAGTCGTGTGACGTCGGTCGATGATTGGGCCTACGTGCCTTATAACTGTCGCCTATCCTGTTTCTGCCACTACCTCTGACGATGGACTCCTGTACGAGTCTGAAAGCTCAGGATAATAAACGAAGTGTTCCGGTGCTCGACTCTTCTTCTTCTTCACTTATTCTACGACGACATCGCTACGGGTGGTCGCAGACAAATCGAACGATGGCGACGCTACAGAAAGACCTTGACACCTTCAAATCAGCCGGAGGCCTGGGAGGACCTTGCTAAAGATCAACAAGCATGAAAGGACAGTTCAACCAACGTGCCCGACGATGTCCACCGTGTACCCCACAGCAAGATGAAGCAGGTACGGTGACTTGCGCATGAATCAGTCCATAGTGAGAGTAGGCTTTCGCAGCATCTACCACACTCCCTCCTCCTACCTACCTGGGCCCGGTGTCAAGACATAGTCAAAAGACCGGGGAGAGGGCGCAGGTGGCTGACACGGACGCGTCCCCACCAAGGCGCACCACCACACGTCCTAGTCCACAAAAGGAACTTGACCAGGATTTTAACTACCAAAAACAGCAGCACCACAACGGGCCAGAGGGACGAGGATGCCTGGGCAGCCATGCTCACGATCTATATACTCAGCGAGCGCACAAGTGCATTTACCGGGAGGGAACCAGGGGTCAGCAAACTGCCAGAGCATACCAGACTGCGAGAGGCCTGGTTTGCTGATCATGGCATGGCAGACGCTTACAATCCTTGAGGCCCAACAAGCATGACACACTGCCCAAAAGACTGGAGGAGCCATCTTCGAAGCTGACCGGATTAGTCGCTGTTGGGGTAAGTAGAGAGGTCGCCAAGACTAATGTTCTACGGGCCAATGACTCAGGTATCCGACGCCGGTCATCGTGTTCATATTGTCGAGCACGGGTCGTCCTTTTGAGGCATCTCCGAACTCGATTCAATGACAATACGACCAACCGACTTTGCACCGTCATCACCACTGGCATCACCAATCAGGACGTTCTTATCACCCTACAAAACATCGTCACTATTGGCCCTGCCACCAACAATGTAGGCTCAATGCCAACCCGTCCCCACTGCGCCGTAACTAGCGAACCCCATCAGTTGACTAGTGAACCAGTTCATGTAGCGCCGGCATACATCTGTCACACACTTCACCTGCCGGCAATTCCCTAAGACAGGGAGAAACGTGTGGGTCTTTTCGGCCATTTGCGCATCCACGACGGGGAAATTAACCACAATATCATTACGACCAGCCCATTTCCTGCGCTAGAAACCTCCACTATCAGCAACATTACCCACCCCATCACCACTACCAGCGTCGTTACTACTAATATTACAGTGACGACGAAAGCCCGTTAGCTACAGTCCCCTTCTGTGCTTGCAACCACCGTACACTTTTATCACACGTCGGTCTCTGCGGGCCCATGCGAATCCATAACACTGAGACTGGCGTACAAGTAACAGGAGCCCCGATGCACACCCCTCGCACCAGTCCGGGCTGCTCAAGGACCTTCGGTCATCGCATGAGCTTATTTGGCCATACGTGCCTCCAGACCCCATCAGCTAACATACATAGTCCTGTCTGGCCACATATGAGCCCCCTCTATACCCCGTACAAGTGATCCGCTTCGGCATCGTCAGTATGACAGGAGCAACGCCACATGTCTGAACATGCACACCTCGCCTAAGTGGGAAGCATATTCTTGATGCATCCTGCTACACGAAGCGGGGACCGGGTCGTGTGTGGCCCACGTGGACGACCAGTAACTGCGCCCAATCCCGGCATCGGATGATTGACCGGCTCGAACAGTCAACTGGTGCACGCAAGAGAGAGAGAGAGAGTGCGACCAACTCCTAGAATTCATTAGCGTTTTTTACGCCACTGCAAATCTTATCCGTTTGAATTTAAAAGGATGTGCCGAAAGTCATGGCTTGGAAGACTGACGAGAGTATTTTGGAGAAACAGGAGAAATGAGCTCAGGCCGCAATTCCTCCTCTTTACAGTGGCATTGGTGGCGCTCCCACCGATGCAGCATCAGTGAAGCCCCTGTCGTAGCCTGGTTCACTTAGGAGGGGGGGACCAGATGGTGTGTTGCACGCTTGGCTGGCTATTTACATTTGTCGGTCAATACGTCGGAGGCCACCTCCGATCGCCTTAGCATCGTCTTGCCATCGGAGCCTGGTTGGTGTGGGAGAAGAGGATGCGACAGGTGCTACGGAAGTCTGCCTAAGGCGAGTGAGGGACGGGAGGGTGCTTCAGATGCAGCGCATGTCCAGTACCACTATAAACCAATTTATGCGCAATTCGGTAGTTCTGTGCCCACCACATGGGGGGACACACGCCGGACATCGGCGTTCGCTATGGTCAAACTGTCACAACCGGTTCCGCTCACACGACTGAACTAGGCTTCGCACAGATTCACCAGCATTGGAAGAGCGTCCGCTACCCTCTTTTCTCCTCGCCTCGCGGTCGAAGCGGTCACTGAGATAGGGCCGTTTCGGTTGCACAGTTCGTCCAGGCAGCGACGGAGACTGGGGGCCCATTGGGGTCGGAGGGGAACGATGAGCTCCTACAGGTGGACATTGAGCGGGCTGTCAATCCATCAGATCAACTATCGTCTGCTGGGAGTCGTGTCATCACCATCATGTAAATGACACCGAACGGCAACCTCGAGGGTGGAGGGAGGGAGATTTTGAGACTCCGATAAACTGAATATGCGCCGGAGACAGTATACGACTAGTAGACTCTGCTGCAGCGTCCAAATCTGACCGTCGCCTGAGACTTATTGAACCTTTGTTTCAAAGCTCAGTACAGCACCTCGCAGTATTCCCGGCTGACGTGCTCGCAGTTCTGCAGCTGCGTTCCACCCCTCCCCCCCCCCAGCTGTCAGGTGGGTCCTGGGTGGTAGACGCAGTGAACACTCATGGTGATTAATATTCTCTTAGGGGGGAAGGGTGGGACTGGTTGTATAGCGTGGCCACTCATTCCTCGCGGTCCCCTCCCCTCAGTCAGGCCTGCGTGGATCATTGTTCTCTGGCCAAAGTGACATTAATGCACGTTCTGTTTACGACAAAACTGTTTTATTTCTGAAATGGCCTGACGGCGTATTTTCACATGCCGATGTTCAAGTATGAATAACGTGGTAGGCCCTAGCCCAGTGCATGTTTTTCTGAAACTCCGAAATCAGAAAACATGCAGAAAAGTCATTTTTTCCTACTGGGGGACGATACTAGGAACACCAGAGTGCATCACCTTAAGAACAGAATGGTTTGAATTCCCACTGTATTTTTGCCTTCGTATCGCTTTCAGCTGTGAATTCCTGAAGGACCCTGAAGTTACAGGAGGGAACAAATGTCGGTCCTGCAAGCACGCCCCCTTCCCACAGCAACAAGTAATTCGTTTTTGCACCGCCGTCTCCATCCCTCTAATGCGATTGACTTCTCAAGCGGACGGACAATGTCAATTCCGCTGTTGGAGGGCAGAATTCGTCTGTGGTGGGTTGTCAACCGACGCCCTTATACTGTTTAACCGATTCAGGTGGTTAACTTCAAAGACTGTGTGGTCAGAGTTTTTTGCCGTGCCGTAAATTATCTTTCTGTAGCTAAGATTTTCCACTACCGACAGAGTGCCCACTTCCGTAAGACTACGAGTTAGACGGGGGGTGAATCAGAAGGGGAGGACCATTCGAAAGTAAGGATCTCTCGGTTGGCATAGTAGCTAAGGTGTAGAAAAGGGAAAGTAGGCTTCGAAGTCGGCTGTTCAGACTATCTTTGTCGGTTGAGCTAGTGGTCCCCCAAATCGTTAATTCGAGAAGTCAATTTTGGTGCGGTCTCCCTGATGTTCGCATCCTATATAGAGTGAAAAGTTTCCGAAAGACTGGAACGGATCCCGATCAGGTCGATTTCGGAGCTTTTGCAGGGTACCCACACAATTCAAATCCGTCCTATGATAATGATTCTATGTGCCAACTCCAGCGGACGATCGCAAAATAGGCCAGAGATAACCAGAAGAAATACTGGGCTGAAATATTGAACTCTATGGACTATGTACGCTGTATTCAGTTCGTCATAAAAATCTCCAAAGCTACGTTATTGGAGCGTCCCCTTGTCAGTCACCGTGCACTGGAAATCATGTTCGAGGCAGGAGCCCAGCGGAGTTGAGCCTTCTCGGGTCTGCAAACGTCAAAATTGGACCAGCCACTAGAACGTGCAGAGTTCATTATCCACTGGCCGCCGACAACTGTAAAATACGATGGATCCGTGGTAACCAATAATGGCAATCGTGTCGTGGCGGAAAGCTACTCTACTTACCCGGACTGTGCCATCTAACGGACTATAAGGATTGACGAAGTCTGCAACCCGGATCTCCAAAGCCAGCAGGCCTTTAGAAGCCTACCATACTCAGTCCGCAATCGTCGTGACACCCTCTCCGGAACGAAACTCAGGACGTAAATTGACGTCATCTGACAAGATCAGGAAAATATTCCAACGCTAAGATAGAAGAGTAAACCACTGCTCCTAAGCTGTCAATGATGAATATTAATGGGGGAGCGAGGGGGACATATCCCAGGGACCCAGGTCCTAGAGTTGGCTGGTATACTGCTGGTCGTGGAGACGACTGCGGAAAACACACTGAAGCGACTTTACAATGGACGCTCGCAATGTAGACAAGACAGACATTGAACGAACACACTGAGCACTTGCCTCCAAATTTCCCTAGTGACCTGAGCTATGCTCGCACAGGACCAGTAGTCATGAGGAGCCAAGGCTTTAGCGATAATCTCAGAGGTCAGATGGAGCTACAGGCAGGGACGGGAATGTCGTGGGTGTCCGCCGCCAGCGTCCAATCCTGCTGCTACGTCAACTCAGGGTTGTGACAAACCGTGTTGGGCTCAACTACTCCTTGAACGACGAAGCACCGCAATCATCAGAGAAACCACGCCCCCCATCAACCCTCACCGTAAAATCATCTCCCCAGCCCAGCGAACTTTGGCCAGACACCGTGGGAAGTAGTACAGCGCTAAAGTACAGGGTAATCGAGTGTAAACTTAGCGACAACTCCCTCCCACGGTGATCCCACGTCGCACTGGCACATCGACCGGATTAGACACCTACGAACACATCGCGGCATGACCGGCTAACCAGTACCTAGAACCGCTGCAAACAATATCAGGCAAGCCCTCATCGCCCACAGTGTACCCGCACGCTCAGCAACCGCATGGACCTACTTGGTTGCGTGTGCATATACGAAAACCAACACTAAGATATCACTCACTATTCATAAGCACGCCGCCTCCGCATATGCAACCATTGCGTGGATATTTCCGGTCAAATGCGTACATACTGGAGCCGCTCATCCCTCCTGTTTTAAGCCTATAGTTAAGTTTGTCAAGTCCGTAAGTACTGCCGCTTCTGCGTGTGTGACACAATATCCAAGGGTTTTGGACCATGCCAATCACTGAGCCCTATCTCGTTACCAATGAGGGAGGAAAGAAGCATCGGCTACTGATTTATTTGAGGGTAGAGAGAACCAGGCCTAGGCTGTGGCATGCTTTTAAACATCGATTTCCCAGCAGGGATACTATTAAGAGACCGGGCAGGTGTTTCACCGATTTTTTACGGTCGCATGACAAAGCTGGAGTTTTCAGCTCACCGGCGGATCGCCCTAACCAGTTTTGGACGGCAAGGCTAAAAGTGTAGCAGGAAATAAATTGTACTTCAAAATGGTAACAAAAATTCGAATTGTATGTACACGTGATAAGTGCAGGGGATGTTGTGAAAACTTCAACAAGAAAGGCCTGGACATAAATGCAATTAAAAGTGTAAAAATTTTAAAACAACAAAGGCAACATGTAAATGCACAACTGCGGTGGTATAAAGTTTGACATGAAAGCACTGAGGTAAAATATTTTTGACCAGAAGCCAAGTTCGTCGGTCATCTGGTTCAGAGTCGGCGCAACAGAGCACGATTGCTTTTTGGTGTCTTGAGATTACGTTGCCTCTGAGACGCACGGACAGCTGCGCGTGGAAGGGGAGTAACTGTCTCACTAGATATTTCGACACGGCCGGTGCTACAAAACAGCAGGACAATGGATGCAAGAACGGGAGGGAGCAGATTATAGGGGCGGGAAGAGGGAGAGATAGAACGAAAGCAAATGGCAAAGAATAGGTAAAAGGAGGAGGCCGAAAGGACGTACCTGGGGTTTCGTAAAACCGACGGAGGACAATCGGAGGATGGGCTATGTTTCTGGAAGCACGCGGCACAAACAACGGCTCGGCAACCGTCTTGTTGACAAATCAGCTGATCAGGCCAAGTGCCTTCGCGACGAATAGCGAAGCCCGAACAGACTGGACAGCGTTTGACTACCTCGCGACCAACACAAGTTTCGGCAACCTAGCAGCAAAACAATACGGTGATCAGAAGTCAATAAATTCATTGCTTATATGACCTGCAAAGAGGGAGAGTAGACTTCCCCCAGAGCGAAGAAAACTGGCCGGTGTATAATGTGCTACTCACGTCAAGATTCCAAAAGAGCATGTTTGGACAAATGTGTGATGTTTGACGACGAAATTCGGGCTGGTGTCCAAGAATCCCTACGAAACATTTTTGCGTTTTGCAATTACTCATGGCGCGGTGGTGTCAGCGGCATCGTGTAGGGAGCACATGGTTATTCACTGGTTTAACAAGGGACGAGGTAGTTTACAGGACCAGAAGGGCCAGCACAATTTACATATACCTTTACCGTCTTTGACCTAGATGCAACAGTCTGCTGAGAGAAAGCGGACTTTGTCCATCCCTGAATGGTCTTAATTTACGATTCGGAACTTGAAGGACTAAAGTTTTGCATAGGCGGTCGCTTCCTACTGTTATCTCGAATTAACCGACAATCAACTGTAGCATGAGCGCTCAACAGACAGTCGTGCGTGAGATTAGTCAGGTAACTAGTCCGATTACCTCTTGATGCCCAGTTCATACTAAGGGTGATACCTCGAGGCCTGCCTACCTAAGACATAACACGATAGAGCCCAGTAATAGGGCTTGTCAGGTAAACTGAAACCTTGGCTCTATTGATAAGTCCGAATCTGCGTAGAATTGTTGCGATGTCCCTACTTTTTACCGTTTAGTTAAAGTAGGACAGTCATTCACGCTCATTTTTTACGACTAACGCTAATCTTACAATCAACCTACGGCATTCTAAAAACAGTTATGGTAGTTTGGGCTGCCAGTCATTTAGCAGTATCCCCATCATCTGATGGTGTAATTAGTTAGGTGGAGTTTTAACACCGACAACCGAAGATCTGCACGCTACAAGGGGCTTGGGAAACACGATACGAGATACTATTTGTATGATAAGAAAATATTTGCCGTGCAACATAGGACACTGGAAGTTTTGACGTAGGCGGTTCGACAGCTAACCAGTGGAATTATCACAATTTTAGCCACGATCGTTTGTTTTTAATCAGCAGTTCAGGCCACAGGGGTGCAGAACAATGCAGGAACATTCCACCAGTGACTGTGGCAGAAAGGCTAACTAGTAACGTTTTATCCCTTCAAAGCCTGTAGTGCGGCTATAACAGAGACGACTACCTGAATACAACGGACAAATACACTTTAATTTGTCTCCAAACAAAATTGACGACACGTCGATAGTGAAAGGAACACTATTTTCTGGATTGTGAAAATACGAACAATAGAAAGTGTGAGGTCAAATTGCAAGGTTTTCAATGTTCTGAGTCCGAAAGAGCTTAGCCCTCTGGGACACTGTGAACAATGCACGATGCTCTAGAAAAGTGAGGTAAAATCGGGATTTATACCGTACAGGACGCAATCTTGCAAGAGGGAAATCCTCTTAATGCAACTTATTTATATTCGGCGTATTTTGGAAATACACTGGAATACGGATGCACCTACTAAAATATACAATTCGCGATAGAAGTTCAAGTTTATTTTAAAGTAGTGGACGCCTGCTCGCAGGTTAGGGGTTAAATGAGACGAGCCATAATGAATTTGCGGAATAAGAGTATTTCCCGAGGGATTACTAGATTTTAACCTGTAAATCTCAGTCTCAAAAAAGTTGCAAAGCTAATCCGTTCATAACACGAGCTTTTGACGGATACTGAGTGACGGAACAGGAAGAAATGACGTCAACTAGAGGTAAGTTCTAAGTGCACTACAAAAAAGCCTTCTAGATTTAATAGCTTGGGTATTGACGTACCTTCCAGCAATCCGTAACGATTGGATTCAGCTGGTGGGAGGGAACTAATATTTCTCGGGGTAAATTATTGCCTTGGTGAGGCTGTCGGGCAGACAAAATCCCGCGGGGTGTTATAAATTCCTTTCCCGGGGTTTGGCACTGTGTGTTCTCTTTGTCAGATGCAACTTCACTTGAAAGTGACCGCCTTTTCACTGAACCTCGACCAGCCAGGTAACTTGAAACAGCTTTCCGCCATAACTTGGAGGTAAGGAGCATCATTTTAAGGGACCGGGCGTCCAGAAGTTTGAGAATAGAACAAAGGACCATTCCAGACTTATCATATAGATAAAGTTGGCCAATAACATCAAGGAACCTTCTTCCAACATATCTTGAAAGGAAGTGAAACACAGCCTAAGTAATGTACCTTCCCGGAGGTCCTTGCATCCATTTGGAGGACGAATTGAGTGAAGAGTTAAGACAACTAGACCCATAAACAGAAAAGGAGCCTTCTGCAGTTGTGCCCCTTGATTCCTCCGAAACGACAGACAAGGACTCATAGCCGGTATCCGAATAATTATGTCGGCAGGGTTGCGGTGTAGATGTGGATTTTGTCTGATTTAAAAATGAATTTTCAAAAGAGCAGGAAGAAAGCCTTAAGATGGAGTTAGGAGACATAGAACTTATTTACCTATCCATTGACAAACGGTTAAAAAAACAGACATGCAGACCGACGAAGGAATTCAAAAGGAGGAATTCAAAACTGCGCCACCGAACGCAAATTGTAGATACTGACCATAACAAACAAGTGACTGACCATTTCATTCGTTTCTCGTCACAAAAAGGCCGAATGCAGTCAGTTGCCTTTTCTTACTGGGCGAAGGCTGTGTCGATTTTTCGGCACGTAGCTGGATCTTTTACATTCTTTAAATCAAGAGTGTCCGCGAGTTTTGAGTTTGGTTCCGCATCTTCGAACTCGTTGAATTTTTATCTTCCCTGGGATTGCTGTATACGAGAAATTGTTGCAACTTTTAAACATTTTCTTCAATGTTTTTGAGGGAAATGGGCCTATGCCTCTGAATTCGTTGTCCACCACATACAAATCGAAAGGATTACTGACAATATGAAGAAAGTACCGTGCCAGGTGAAGGCCAACCTAGGTCCACATAAGTATATTTGTATTAAAGTTTACAAAATCATGTAGTCTGTTTGTTTCTGCAGCATGTGTCTGCCAAGACGAAGTTTGAATGTCTCCACAGACTGAGGCATTACAATCGTCTTATACAAGTAATTCTCTGGTTCCATTACACGATACACTTACATTAAAAGGATGTCCCCTGACTTTTGTTGAAGTTGGGAAATTGAAGAACCCCTCACAGTGAATGGCACAACCTAATCCAGGCACGATACGGAAAGTCCGTACTTAGTCGATGCGCAATTATTTATAACCGAGAGAGTGAGTCTCGTATGACAGGGGTACTTAACCTCGTTCTACTTGTGTGACTTACCTCTGCACTCTATTTAGTAAGTCATAACCCTGCTGGGCCATGTGTTTCCAATCTTGAATAGCATATTAAAAATGAGAACCTACAACCATGTCAAAGACTTTGGAGATGCGGTCTTCATCGAAAACAGTGAATGCCTGCCTGATGGCGTATAGCACTGCAGTTGAGAATTCAGCAGCTTTACCACAGAGTGCAGGTTTTAGAGTGCTCGTCAATCAACCACTGAGTCATTTCTGCGCTTCGGTTTCTCGGAGTGGCGTGCAGTTCATATGGTAGATGCATGAATCAGTATAATTCAGTATATATGTGGGATATAAACAGAGCCTTGGAAAACCCTATTTACAGATGGACGCCTGAAAAAAATTGCAGATATATGCATAGCAGTTACGCCAGTTATTGATATCGTGTAAGGTTTTGACCATCAAGCATAAATTTATTTAGATTTCTTTTGAAGGACTCAACAATTTCCGCTATGACATAAGAGTTCTGCAATTTATTCCACCCTTCAACCAGCCGGTGGGAGAAGAATTTGGCCCGTAATTTTATCCCCAATTTCTATTGGTGTCCTCGAAGATTGATGGTCCGCGCCAGTTCGAAGAAATCGTTAAATTGAAGAGCACGGTGGTACTGTCTATAAGAGAGAGGTAATATTTTTAGCTTTTGCAGATGTCTATCACAAGGTAAGCTTCTCAATCCACAGACTAGATTGGTCTTTCTTCGTTGTACGTTCTCCAACAGGGTCTAATCTTGTTTCGTCCCGGGACAGCATGCCTGAAGACAATATTCCAACACTGGTCGAACGTATGCTCCAAATACTCGGTCGAAAAGTTCTTCGTCGAAATTGAGGAATGATCTCCTGATCGCACCTAGGATACCCATGGCTTGCTTTGACACCTTGGCGCAGTGAGACGATGGTTTGAGAGGTCTGCCCATAAGTAAATCAGCTAGTCATTTCACAAGATTTCCATTCGCCCCCACTTGACGCAGTTTAAATATAAGTCGTCTATGTGGAACACTCTCAAGAGCCTTTCTGAAGTCAATGTACACGGCGTCGACCGATAAACCCATGTCGATTGATTTCGTCCAGCTCATTATAGATACAAGCAGATTATGTATGTATGTATGTATGTATGTATGTATGTATGTATGTATGTATGTATGTATGTATGTATGTATGTATATGTATGTATATAGTTGGAGGGTTAGAGGCAAAGCCACTGATGACCCTATTTATGCACAGTGCCTTAACAAATTCGTACTCAAAAATAAAATTGCAAGCATTTACAATGTCATCGAGTCACAGTTCAATCGTAATCATAAGATAGTGCATAAGGTCACTGTAAACAATTTCGGAGGTTTTTTACAAAAATGGCTGTGCATAGTCATGCTGTAAAAGCCGATTCCTGTCGAAAATTAGACGAGCAAGTTTTCTTGTAAACACACAAACCGCGTCGGCCGTCACCATCTCGCTTGGAAGCGAGTTCCACGGTCGGACGACCCGCTGGATGAATGAAAAATTTTCGACGATCTAAGCGCGTGCGCTCATTCACGACTTTGTAGGTTTGGCCGGGGAGTTGGTTTGTACGGGCAAACTCAGAGAAGTCCTCTGCTCTTAATGAGCAACCCTGTCTGCATACTATCCGGAACGTCCAAAGTAGACTGCAGTTTATGTGTCTATAAGAAAGGGGGACTAGGCCAAGCAAATTCAGCCTCTCCTGATAAGACAAATACTTTAGACCGCCAACCATCTTTGTCGCACTGCGTTGCCCCTGTTCGAGTAAGTCGATAGCCTTCCTCATTCATGGTGAAGCTGCTGACATTCCATACTCTAGTTGAGGTCTCACAAAGACACCAAAGAGTCTTTCAAAGAGTTCGGGAGGAAATATTTTAAATGCACGTCTGATCCAGTGTAAAGTACTGGTTGCCTTCTGGACCATCTTTCTACAGTGTTCTGATGGCGATAGATTTGCGGTCGTCCACACGCCCAGATCTCTGTGTCTTTCCACCGTTTCTGACCTCGTCCCATCAAATGACTTCTGAAATATTTCGGATAAGTGCTTGCACAGTTCATTAGCAAGTTCACTAAGTGCTAGTGCGGGAATTCTATATGGGCCGGGCGATTTGGCAGGTTTCAGCCGGAGTAGCTCGGCCCTAACTATGGTCGATGAAAAGAGTGGTTCATCGGTTAAGGAGGGTAAGGGGGTGTAGGAGAAGGAAGGGTAATGGGAGGAGAGGTTGGTTGACAAACGGATGGATAGGCAAATATAGAACTAGGTTCTCGGGTGAAGACAGGCTGAAAGAAGTCAGAAAGCAGATACGCTTTAACCTGTTCATCAGTTTCTACTTTTCCATCTGTAGACTTAAGAGCAGGGACAAGCTCCTGAGTCCTTTTAGTACTTCGTATATAACTATATAGAATTTTCGGATCCTCCAACGAATTTCGAAGTATGTTCAGTTCAATCTTCCTTCGCAGCTTTGAGGGCTCAGTTTTATAAGCGTTTCGTTGATGCTCATATTCCTGTAAGTGTCCTTCGTAGCCATTTTGTCTGTAACGCCTCCACAGACGATTCATTTTTCCGTGTGAGGCCTTTAAGTCCGGTTTTATCCATTTTGGGTGGTTTGTGATTGTCCTTCGTCTGAGAGGACAAGTGGAATGAACAATCTCTTTCAGTAAGGAACTGAAAGTATTCCAGTTGTCGTTTGCTCGACAATGCAGTTCAGTCTCCCATGATACAGCTGCCGCTTCCCTACTCATGAGAGAATAGTCCCCTTTCCAAAGGAGTTATAGGCAATGCCTTTGAAAACCCTATTGTAAACGGTACATGCAATGTCTAACTTTAAATAAACACGGTACTGAAATGTTGTAAGTAATATATGCACTTAACATAATATTTGCCCTGAAACGGTACGTCCAAAACTTGAGAACATTCAGTTGTAGATGATTTCAGTAAAAGGTCTAACATATTTTCCTCCTTTAGGGTACAAATAAAATCAAGGCAGTTAGACTGTTGTCCTTCCCTGGCCCGTGTTCCAAAGGTGAAATTCTGGCAGAGAAGTTTGTCCGTTGCCCATTGTAGTAGTTTACGATTAAAGCTGTCTTGCGGCCCTTGTGCAGTCCACGTTGGCCAATCAATGCCAGGAGCGTTAAAATCCTCAACGATAAGGACACCTTTCTTCCCACTGACTTTGTTAAGTTCAGTTACGAGCATGAGATCTTGGTCAGACGTATGAGTAGGTGAACGATACACCACCGAAAGAGTCAGTGATCGGACATTCTTAGCAGATATGGTAACGCTTAGCAGTTCCACAGCCCGTACCAGACTATGCACATCAGCCATAGCGCTCAGCTTGCAAACGACATAAATTCTGACTCCTCCTAGGCTTAGCCTGTCACTCCTGAAATGCTGATATCCTCTAAGTGATATTTCTGAATCTGCGATATCTTCTAAATTACAGGCAACTGCGCGGCGATCTCATTCAAACCTACAGGATTGTCAGAGGTGGTGAGTGTGTCCTAGACTTTAATTAATTCTTCAACTTGGCCGGGACTGACCGCCTGCGTGATCATCGCTTCAAGCTGCAGAGGAAGCTGGCCCATTCGGACGTCCAATGGAACGCCTTCTCTCACAGGGTCATTGGGGCATGGAACGGACTCCCTGATGTAGTGGTTCTTTCCGAAAGTATTGATTCCTTCAAATGTAGACTAGATGCTCACTTGTTGAGAAACTACTGTACATACAATAACGATTGTTTTAGCGGCGGCAGTTTGCGCCTGGCTCACACTTACCGCTAACTTTTAAACTTTTCGCATTTGCTGATGTAATTGATGACTTTATTTCTGTTTATCGATATGAATGGGGAGCTCAAGGGCGAAAGCCTCATTCCCTTAATAAACTGACTTAAACTGACTTGACTTAAGTGATATTTCTGAATCTGCGATATGTTCTCTAAGCCAAGTTTCGGTTAGTGCCGTAATGTCTGGCTTAATTTCATCAACTATGTCTCTTCGTTCGTCTAGTTTGTTAAAGAGGCTTTGCACGTTTTCGGAGATAACCTTCAATGACTGTTTCGTTGGTCGGGCCCGGCATTCATTGTGACAGGTTCTAACCACAGGAAAGACCACTTTGTCTGGACTACTTGTCCATTTTTGATCTTCAGCGCTTTCTCTCCTGTGCCAATTCTCTCCTTCAGTTC